TTTCACCTATGTGAGGGATGTCAGACAATTCTTTATGTCAGATTGTCCATTGCATTGCATTCTTGGCTCACTCATGCCCACTAAACTCAATAGCACTTTACAATCATTAACAACCCCCCACCCCCATACACACACAACATTTCAAACTGGCCCCATGGCTAGCGGACTGTACCTACCTGTTGGGAGCTACTGGTCCCAGTGAAGATCAGGGGGTTTTGTAACTATGATGGAGCATCAGGCCCACTTATGTGTCATTTTACTTAAGTTGCCATCAGTGCTCTTCATTATTTCACTTTAACCCTTACCTTGTCAGTTTCCTATGAGCTTTTTTAGATTAAGAATAATAATTGGGGAAACTAGGAATAAACTTTGTTTCTGCCAGTTTCATTGGGTTAAGATCTTCAAGGGTGAAAACCCTATAAAATGGCACATTTATGGAGCTTAAGTAGTGGGTGCGAATTAGCCTGAGAAGGTTACGTCTACTCTAGACAAATAACTGGGGTTGGGGGTGGGGGGCGGGGTGAAGCCCGCAGGGACCCATTCCGGTTGGTGGTTGGTATTCCACCAGGCCTGATGACCAGAGAGAACTGGCTGGAAGATCCAAGTCACACCATAAGCCAGGAGCCAAAGATCATGTAAAAATGTCACATCCAAAGAACAAGTTTAAAAAGATGAGGGCAAGGCCAAGAATCAGGATAAAATGAACTGGATTAGGACAGGAGGCCAGAAACAAGTGAGGAGGGCTGTAAACAGCTGTTGGTATTTGCAGCTTGTCTTCACGGGCCAGCAGATATGTAGCTCACTTGGGTCAGGCTATTAAAAAAAAACAGAGTTGCAACCTAGCTGGTTTGGCTCAGTGGATAGAGCGTCGGCCTGCGGACTCAAGAGTCCCAGGTTCGATTCCGGTCAAGGGCATGTACCTGGGTTGCGGGCACATCCCCAGTAGGGGGTGTGCAGGAGGCAGCTGATTGATGTGTCTCTCTCATGGATGTTTCTAACTCTCTATCCCTTCTTCTCTGTAAAAAATAAATAAAATATATTTTAAAAAACCCACACAGTTGAAATAGGCATTAGCATATGTGATTTCTAAAGATGCAGCATATCAGAGCAGATCTGTTGACTATATATTTAAACAAATTGCTAAATTATTATTTATACAGGTGACCTTTCAGTATTTCATTTGAAAATACTTGTATTGTCTTATTCTGCTAGATGGTGAACTGCTTGAAGGCAGTGTTGGTTCATATTTCTCTCTCTCTCTCTCTCTCTCTCTCTCTCTCTCTCTCTCTCTCCCTCTGTGTGTGTAACGTATTATATAGTAAATATATATCCTACCTTCAAAGCCTGTTAAATCACGTTGTTTACCCATATCTTCAGAAAAAAAATCACTTCTACTGTCGTGGTAAACAACCTGCTTCCCTATTTATAATGGTCTGACCCTCTAGCAACTTCAGCGCAAAATTAGAGCTAAATCTTGGTGTTTTGTCATTATTCGTAAAGAATAGAAGGAAGTGTGAATAAATATTAATTGTAGCACTGAATCAGTCAGAAATTCCAGGCAATTAGGAAATATTAAGGATTGATTTGGAAATGAAAGAAGTTTGGAGTTTTTCTTTCTGGATTAAGACAGGGAAATGTCCTCATTTGTTTGCTGCAATCTGGGACAGGTTAACTGAGGCATGCAAAGTTAATAAAGTGCAGTCAACTGTTAATGTTAGAAACCCTCTGTCATTCTTAGAATGGCCTCTGGAGGTCAGGATTGAGGCACCGTGCAGGGCTAAGCTTCCTCCACTATCTGTGGTTAAAATGATGCTGAATGCTGACACTTCTGCTTCTCCATCTGGTGTCATTTATAAGCTCTCAGTTTGTTTACTCACAAAATATAATTTAACTAACAAGATAAAATGGTTTGGATATTTGAATATGTATTTAATTTATACATTTAAGTAATAGTCTATATTAATTTCTGTTAAAATAAAGAAGTTAAGGCTCTAAAAACATTTAAACATCTGTTGAGATCTTGAAATGTGTAGGGATTTGTAAAATAATATGTATTAAGAATGGCAGTACCTAAACTTTAAAATAATAGAATCATTTTAAGTTTTCTCACATTCTTAAAATTTTGGATTGCAATCATTTTCTTAATTCAAAGACTCTCCAAAACATTTTAAAAATCATTTGGAACAAGACAGAATAATTTACCATTATTATTGTGCTTCTGTGTTTTACCAAAAGTTCAGAGGATGGCAGGCAGCCAAAAAATATACCCTCCTCCCCTCCCAGCTCCTCCTGGGCGTTCTCCATCCAGAACTCAATGACTGTGGAGGCCAGCATCCAGGAAAGGGAAAATCAGAGGAAGTTTCCATCTAAAAAAGCTCTTCTCCAATTTTTGAAGCGACAATCTTTCATATTTTCTAGTTATTTACTGCTTTACCTTTATATTTATTTATTTTTAAACACACCACCAGATCCCCTTGGATATTTTGGGATAACATTAACGGTAGTCTTATCTATTTAACATCTTGGTAACGTAAAAACAAACATTCAAACCTGTAAGTAATTTTTGTGAGTTTCTTGGAGCCAAACTGTGGATAATTGCTGGGAAGCAGAATCTCAAAGGTTTGGGATAAAGCTCTGGAGAATGGGAGTTTTTCACCTAATTTTATACATTTCAATCAAAGGAGAGTATCAAACAGACCATCCAACCTCAGAGGGAAGGCGGGTGTGGGGGGTGCGGTAGGGGTGAGAGATCAACCAAAGGACTTGTATGCATGCATATAAGCATAACCCATGGACACAGACAGTAGGGGTGGTGAGGGCAAGTGCTGGGGGGGGGAGGGGTACGAGGTCAATGGGGGAAAAGGAGACATATGTAATACTTTAAACAATAAATAAATAATTTTTTTTAAATAAATAAATTTTCAAAAAGGAAGGGACATAAGAGGGTTACATGAAATCCATTGGTGATAGATTAGGGAGGCAGGAGAAAGCAAAGTGAGGGTCAAGGGGCAGAGGAACCTCTTGTATTGGATAAAAAGTAAAATGATAGACACATTCTTCTTTTATTTATAGGGGGTACAGGATAGTTAACAATCAATAATTAACAGGATAACAATAGCAATGAAGGAATTTGTGACCTCTGTCCTGGCGCCTAGGCACATTTGGTTGTGCCCTGAGGGTAAAAGGGAAGTTACAAGCTACCCTGACATTTCACAGGTTGTTATCTTAGATGCAAAAAGACAATAGGCTCAGTAAAGATCAAAGCTGATCTTTTCAAGGAAGATACTGGCCTAGGACATGACTACCCACTATAAACTGCTTTTTAATTAAAGGTTTTTAATTTCAGACTATCCTTCCTGGTTACTTGAGGTCTCTTGAGTTTGCAAGGCTGCCACGCAGGCCTTCCCTGAGTTAGTCAGATTAGTGTGTGGCCCTTTTTTCATCCACAATCTAAATGCAATTGCTATATTAATTATAATATACTAGAGCAGCGGTTCTCAACCTTCTGGCCCTTTAAATACAGTTCCTCATGTTGTGACCCAACCATAAAATTATTTTCGTTGCTACTTCATAACTGTAATGTTGCTACTGTTATGAATCGTAATGTAAATATCTGATTTGAAGGATGGTATTAGGCAACCCCTGTGAAAGGGTCGTTAGACCGCCAAAGGGGTTGTGACACACAGGTTGAGAACCGCTGTACTAGAGGCCCAATGCATGAAATTCCTGCACTCAAGTGGGAGTGGGGGTGGGGTGGGTGTGAGGTGTGGAGGGGGGTCCCTCAGCCCGGCCTGCACACTTATCCTTTCTGGTTACTTGAGGTCTCTTGAGTTTGCAAGGCTGCCACGCAGGCCTTCCCTGAGTTAGTCAGATTAGTGTGTGGCCCTTTTTTCATCCACAATCTAAATGCAATTGCTATATTAATTATAATATACTAGAGCAGTGGTTCTCAACCTTCTGGCCCTTTAAATACAGTTCCTCATGTTGTGACCCAACCATAAAATTATTTTCGTTGCTACTTCATAACTGTAATGTTGCTACTGTTATGAATCGTAATGTAAATATCTGATTTGAAGGATGGTATTAGGCGACCCCTGTGAAAGGGTCGTTAGACCGCCAAAGGGGTTGTGACACACAGGTTGAGAACCGCTGTACTAGAGGCCCAATGCATGAAATTCCTGCACTCAAGCGGGCGTGGGGGTGGGGGTGGGTGTGAGGTGTGGAGGGGGGTCCCTCAGCCCGGCCTGCACACGCTCACAGTCTGGGAGCTCTTGGGGATGTCCAACTGTAGCTTTGGGAGAGGCCTAAGCCCTCAGCTGGACATCTTAGGGTTGCCACGAAGGTGGGAGAAGCTCCCACCACCACCACTGCACTCACCAGCTGTGAGCCCGGCTCAGGGTTTCTGGCTGAGCAGTGTTCCCCCTTGTGGCAAGTGCACTGACCACCAGGGGACAGCTCTTGTGATGATCATCTGCCCCCTGGTGGCAGTATGCATCATAATGACTGATCATTCCACCGTTTGGTTCATTTGCCTATTACCCTTTTATTATATACATAGATGGCTGTTGGATTTTGTCAAATGCTTTTTCTGCATCTATTGATATGATTCTTTTAATTTGTTTATGTGATGTATCCTGTTTATTGATTTGCGAATATTGTACCAGGCTTCCTCCCCTGGAATAAATCCCACTGGGTCATGGTGTATGCTCTTTTTAATATATTTCTGGAGATTTTATCATCTATGTTCATCAGAGGTAGTGG